TTAATTCCTTTGTTTAATACTGTTTGGGGATGCAATTTTTATAGTAGTGGTTTTCTAACCCCACCCCCTCCTACCTATAATTTCTATAACCCCACCTATATGATATAATAAAATAATTAAAATTTATTTATTTTATTTTTCAATTTTAACCCTTTAATATTTTTAGTTTTCACCCTTCAACTTTTTAAATACTTTTCTATTATACTCCTAGGTTTTTTAAGAAAATAATTGATACAAATAATTAATAATTATTTATTAATATATGATGTATAATTAAAAATTAATTAATAGATTTTAATTAACTTTAATTAATATTAATTAATATCAATCAAGATGAAAATTGGAAAACTTGTTAAAAGGCTCTTATTAAGGGGCTGTTTACAAAACACTTACCAGTAAGTGTTTATCGTTAAAATTTAACACTATTATTTACTTACAGAGTAAGATTTTAGTCCATCAAAAAGACTTTGTATGTAACAATTAACCCAATAAGCGTTTACCGTGTTAAGAGTCGTTGCCCTCACTTGTCGGGTAAGACTCTTGATCTTTGTCTCGCTCTTACGAGTAAGATTTTTGGTCCTTACCATATTCATGCAGTAAGATAATGTGACTTGGTAAACACTTATCAGGGTAAGCGAAACGACCTCTAAATTACTCCAAGTTTCTTATCAATAAGCTAGCTTATTATGTGCATCCAAATAAAAATGATAACTCAAAAAAGAAGCTAACTTTTAAGTTACAAGGACATACCTGTAGTCGTGGCATTGTATTATTTCTTCGTTGAATGGTAAAAAAAATTAGATTTGTAAAAGGTGCAACCGTATCGTTTTAAAAGGTATAACCGTATCATTTTAGAAACTTCAAGGGGTGCAACTGAAACTATGATGAGAACAATTTTTTCTTTTTTGTTAGAGTTGGTTTGCAAAGTTTTTTTACATCTAAGATCTGAGTTCGAAATAGAATCTTATTAGTATTATTTTCTTAGTCAAATGGTGGTAGCGGTTGAAAAAATTTCCCTCTATTTGTTTCTTAACCTGTTTGAATCATGCATATGGTTTAATATGTTATTAAATTGGATAACCCGAAAACCAAATAACACATAACCGATTAAACTGATCTTTATTTGGTTTGGTAATCATAAAAAAGTTAAAAACCGATATAAGCTATCTAATAACATCCCTACCTATAATTATAATTATAATCAATGAAAATAAAGGGATCAAATCCGTAGTATTCCATATACCACAGGGAAGCAATCGAACTACCCCCCTTTTGTCGTCGTCATGAATAACGCTCAAGATTTGGTACATATTTCCAGCACCAACAAACCACTCACCCGGAGGAACCCCCTATACCTTTCATGCCGATTTTGACGTCCAGAAGAGCCATCCATTTTTGTTTTGCTTAATTGGTCTTACAAAACCCAGTAAGAAGAAGAAAGAAATATGGCACAAGGTCAACTACTCACTTACGACATTGTCATCTTCGGAGCATCTGGTTTCACAGGCAAGTACGTAGTCAGGGAAGCTCTTAAGTTTCTCGATTCACCCAATTCGCCTCTCAGAACCCTCGCTCTAGCCGGCCGGAACTCTTCTAAACTCTCAGAAACMCTRAAATGGGCATCCMCRTCTCACCCCRCCATMCCCCTYMTCRTTGCYGAYACMTCTGACCCACWYTCTCTYCGCCGCATGGCTTCCCAARCKAARCTCGTYCTYAACTGCGTTGGMCCTTTTCGTYWTYACGGTRAYCCCGTYGTYKCTGCYTGTGTTGAMGCCGGATGCGATTACTTGGATATTTGTGGTGAGCCGGAGTTTATGGAGAGGATGGAAGCCTTTTACCATGAGAAGGCGGTGGAGAAGGGTAGTTTGGTGATTTCCGCCTGTGGGTTTGATTCAATTCCGGCTGAATTAGGGTTGATGTTCAATTCCAGGAATTGGGTTTCGCCTGCGGTGCCGAATCGGGTTGAGGCCTACTTGAGTCTTGAGTCGGATAAAAGGATAGTGGGAAATTTTGGGACGTTCGAATCGGCGGTTTTGGGTGTGGCTAACGCCGATAAGCTAGCGGAGCTGCGGCTGTCCAGACCCAAAAGATCTCGACCTCCGGTAACCATATTCCCTTGTTTCATATGATTCGTTCATCATATTGTGTAATCTTTGATATCGACTTGGATTGTAACTCCCAGTTACAGATTGATATGCAATTAAAGTCTAACTGTTCATTGATTCATATCTGCCCCTTTTTATCAGATTCCTGGTCCTGCTCCTCCAAGAGGATCAACTATAGAACACCAGAAAAAGATAGGACTTTGGGCAGTGAAACTCCCATCGGCGGATGCCATTGTAGTCAGGAGAACTCTTTCGATTCTTACAGACAACCCTAGTGGTCTTGAAGGCGTCTATGAGGATCCTAAACAGGCAGAGAAGCGAGCTGCCTTTTGGTCAACTGTAAAACCTGCTCATTTCGGAGTAAAGATCGGGACCAAGAATCTTTTGGGTCTCCTCGGATTCTTCCCAGCTGGGTTATCAATTGGGCTGCTGGGTATGTTCTCTTTCGGAAGGTGGCTTCTGTTGACATTCCCCTCATTTTTCACTCTTGGGGGATTCAGGAAGAATGGTCCAACCGAGGAGGAAGTGGCAAGTGCCAGTTTTAAGATGTGGTTTGTTGGCCATGGCTTTAGTGATTCCAATCTTGTTTCTGAGGGAAATGCAAAGCCTGATACAGAAATCATTACCAGAATAATGGGGCCTGAGATTGGGTATTTGACCACTCCCATCATTCTGGTTCAGTGTGCTCTCATCCTTTTGCAGCAGCGTGGAAATCTTCCTAAAGGTGGCGTCTTTCCTCCTGGGATCGTTTTTGGCCCAACTGATCTTCAAGATCGACTGCAGGAGAATGGGATTTCGTTTGATTTGATTTCAAAGAGTGATATTTCTACTTAAACGGTATGTTGTTCAGTCAATAAAACGAGGTAGTAATGTTGAACATGTGATTATGAATTGTTTCTGTTATGAGTTATGATAGTAGATCGAAAAATCTTATGATACCTTGGTTGAAGGGATCCATCTACAATTCATACAGTTGTTTGGAAAATGAGAGTTGAGACTAACTAATCATTGGGTCTTAGGGAACGTTTACTAAATGTCTAATGCTTCTTCCCTGGTTATATAATATATGCTTACCTGGTTAGATACGATGGTGTTTACTAACATCCTCTAAACTTTTACCCGATAAGTGAGAATATGATTCTTATCCGGTCAGTGTCTTATGTTTTCCACTTCCGCTGTTGTTTCTTTAAACCTTCATTTTCAGAAGCTATTTCTCTCTCCATCTTCATTCGCTCAACGACCCTTGTCTCCTCAATGATGCTCGCCGACATCACTCAGCAGGTACGTTCTTGATCCCCTTTCTCTGCTCGTGGGTTATGTGATTTGTTTTCTTTGCTTTTGGATTCTTCTCTTTCCAAGATTTGTTTGTTGTGTATTTGTTTATTGAAATAGCATGTTAGCTGTAATAAATAGTATTGGTTCAAATGTATATTAGTGCTTGTTTCTGGATGATAGTGTTGCTTGAACACAATTAGAATTTTAGTTAGGGACAATGTTTGTCATCTGTAACCTCTTCCTGTTGCTTCTTTCTATCCACCTCGGAGCTAATGAGAAGACCTTTCAGACATGAACTAAATAGATACATTATACATAAAGTGAACAAAAACAAAATTATTCAATATAGTATGATAGAGAGGGAAGAAGCGTCGTGAGAAATAAAAATATTTACGTTTTACTATAAGACATTGATAGACGCATATACCTCGGCTCCCACTGAAACCACCTCAGCCCCTCTGGTCGCCGCCTCAACCATCCAAGGCGTCCGTCTCATACAGGGCAACAGAGGTGTTGTAAATCAACAATCCCCAAATAGCGTAAGTGCTCAACCCAAATAACCCAACCTGAAGCCATCATATGCCTAATCAAGTTGTACAATCCTCGAACAATAGGCATTGGGTCGATCCAACCCAATGAGTTGATACTTTACATGTTATATGCATATGCTACTAGATATGTTGTTGGAGCTACCTTTAATCTGCATGGTCGTGGCAAACAAACTGGTTAGCTCTTTTCATGAGAGTATCACAATTCCTCATAATTTTACTTCCTATTTGCATGGATCTTCAACTTTTTTCTTGGTGTTGGTCTGGCTTTTCTTTGTTCCCCATGTAGTATAAAAAGTTAAATAACCGGTAGTAGTGACCAATAGTTGTTTAAGTATGCTAGTTCAGTGCTGCTATCATGTGGCAATCCAACCCAACCCATGGGTTTATTGGGTTATGCTTTATTGTTTAATGGATCAAGATTATTCAAAGCGTACCGGTTCGATTGGATTGTTCAAATACCTTCACACTGGCCACTCTAAGCCATGTGCAGCCCTGCTGCCGATCCTCCACCTTCTCCAAACTCCCATCCTCCCGTCTGTCTTAGCTACGGGCCCACATCGTCTCCAACCAAAAAAATCCAATAATCAAGGGTGAAGTTTAAAATGTAAATCGATGGAGAAAATGAAGTTGGTGCATAGAGGTCTTTCAATGGAGTTTTGGGAGAGAAAATGCTGGGAAAAGATATAAAAATTTAGACCAATTATGTATCCAAAGATAAGATTCTTTTGGAGAAGAAAGATATTTATGACAACAATTGTATCAAAATCAGTGGGAGATAAATATACAAAAGAGCAATTCGTTCGTTAGTAGTTTCTTTCTATTCAAGGTGGTCGTGGGGCTTAAATGACATAAACATCGCAGCATAATGTCGAAGCCGATCACTGTTCCTGACCCTGTAAATTGCTGCACCTCTCCTCATCCTCGAAACATAGCGCCGCCAAGCAAGTTGTATGTTAATGGCAGCCCACGTTCTCCAATTTGAAGAATAGTATCTAGCGGTTCGCTTTGTCTTTTCATTTACAAAAGTGTAGCGGAAATGATTGGTAATGTACCTTAGATGCTTTGCATCTAGCGCAAACGCTTCTGTTGCTTTGACACAGGTGAATGTTGCAGTTGCAGCAGGATAACGGTCAATAAATGGAATACGAAGGCACCACGAGAGTAGCTCGTCTCCGAAGAAAGTTCCGGACTCCAATATGCTCGTTGCAACCATCCCTCGACTTAGCCATTGACTTCTCTTAACTCGTCCATGAACTACAAACACCATTCTTTGGACCGGATCTCCTTCTCTGATAATCTGTGGGACACCAAGTACAAATGTTTTGTTAACTTAATTTTTCGAAACAACATGCACCTGCACTGTTTTTTTGTTAGTTGGGTTTGTGTGACGACACCTTCTCGCCCTTTGAGTAGACTAAAAAAGTGACACGGTCACAAATGTTGTCGAGAATAACGTCATCCATGGACTCGAACAGCGGTGCCTGAAACTCTCTACATTAGCGAGTTTGACCTCAAAAGTTATATAACTTGATTTTTTTACTGAAGTAGAGAAACCTGTATACACGTAGAAAATGGTTGCCAAGAGGGAAATGTCTTTTCAAATCGTTAACAGCATTACAAAATGGGGCTTTTAGGACATGCCCAACTGTCATTGGATGTCCTAATAGATTACTTAACGAGACTTCAAGTTTGTAGAACCAACAACTGTGTGTCATATACCATACCTTTTTTATCATGTCCAAGCAAAGATAACGCTTGATATCACGTCGTAGTCCTTCAGGCAAATCCTTAACCATGTTCATATCGTCTTCACCTTGCATAACGGACCATCTTTGGTTCTCGAAATGGCGAACCCTTTTTCTTAATTCAGAAGGCAATTGTCGTCGCTTCATCCAACATTCTATGTCCCTTAACCTTACCTGCATTTTCGTAGTCCTTCCCGCCAGTGCATACAAGAAAACCTATTCGACCGTTACCAATTAACACCTATCAACAAACATTTTTTAGAATAAGCATATGCAGGAAAGAGAAGTAGTTGATCACCTGAATGTTCCCAATTAAGGTGGTGAAAAGCAATAGTCCAACGAGCACCATATAAGAGGCCAAAATCACCTCCAAGATTTGGCTGGTGGGCTCAAGAATGTTACCCATAGTGCTGCATGCAGATCACGGATCAAGAATGTTACCATTCTTTATAGCTATATATATATATATATATATATATATATATATATATATATATATATATATATATATATATATAGGTGAGGGTTCAAACGAGAACCCCTGTGATTTACGAGAATGCGAGAACAACCCAATAAACTCAAACTTTTTTAATTAATAAATTAACTTTTATTATATATAAATAATTTAATAAGGACAATAATGTAATTAAGTAATTTTTGTAATTTTTATTTTATTTTAATTAACCATAATTAT